AAAAGTGGGAGCTGATCTCCCACACAAAGGTAAACAGGCCTTCTCCATCCCCCAGTCCCACCTGGCATCTCCCATCCTGCCTTCCTTCTTCAGATCCTCTCCTCCCCTCTCCCCATCACCAGTCAGCTTTCTGTGTGGTAAGGAAACACCCGAGTCGAACAATCTGAAAGGAAGAAAAGTTTGCCTTGGTTCATGGTCTCAGAGGTTTCAGGCCCGGCTTGCCTAGTTCTATCACTGTGGGTCTGTGGGGGAACGGGACATCTTTGCAGGACCCTGTGTGGGAGCAGGGTGCTCATCTCAGGGTGGTCAGGGAGTGAGCGGAGAGGAAAGGGGCCAGGGTCTCAATATACCCCCTTCACCGGCACACCCCACCCCGGTGGCCTACCTCCTCTCTTCCAGGCCCCTCTTTCCCCTTCCACTGCCCCTCCCACTGGTACCAGAGACTAATAACCCAGCTCTTAGCACATGCACCTTGAAGGGTCTTTACAGCCCAAAGGTTGATATACCAACGTGATTAACCAAGATTTTAGCAAGGCCAAACTTTATGGAGAATAAAAAATCTCCCAAAGGGTTTTTGTTCATTTGTTTTTGAAACTAACTTCAATTTTCCATTCATTGACTCATTTTATAAAATATACAGAACACACACCTTAGAATTTTAAACCACTTTTTTGTTTTGTTTTGTTTTGTTTTTCGAGACAGGGTTTCTCTGTGTAGTTTTGCGCCTTTCCTGGAACTCACTTTGTAGACCAGGCTGGCCTCGAGCTCACAAAGGTCTGCCTGCCTCTGCCTTCTGAGTGCTGGGATTAAAGGCGTGCACCACCACCGACTGGCTTTAAACCACTTTTGAGTAGAGTTAAGTACGTTCACATTGCTGAGTAAACATTGCCACTAGCTTTCTCCAGAAATTTCTTCACAGTGCAAAGGAGAGGCCGGAGCATGGTTCAGCTGTTAGGAATACATCAGCACTAACATCTCCTCCTAGCTTACTAGCATTTCCAAACTCCCTGATTTTAAATTGTTTTAATTTTATGTGTATAAGTGTTTTGTGTGTGTGTGTGTGTGTGTGTGTGTGTGTGTGTGTGTGTGTGTAAGCATACCACAAGCATGTAGTGCCCAAGGAAGTCAGAAGATGGCATTGGATCCCTAGAATTGGAGTTACAGATGGTCGTGAGCTACCACAAAGATGCTAGGAATCGAACTCAGGTCCTTTCTAAGAACAGCAAATGCTCCTAGCTGCTGAACCACCTCTCTAACCCCCAGCTCCCTTTTTTTTTTTTCATGATAAATAATCCTAACAGTTACAGCTGCCCCAGTGCGCACCAGGCATTGAGCGAGCCACTCCATAGATATTCCCATTTAATCTTTAAATAGATACTATCATTATCTTTATTTTTCAGATGGCAAAGTGGAACCTATAGAATTCCGGAAGCTCGCCAGATCACACAGATGCCAGGTGCCAGAGTCAGCGTTCCAATCCGATGGGTCCGCACAGTGAGCCAGGGGCCGTCAGAAGACTATTACAGGAGACTATTACAGGCGCTGAGGAGATGGCTCAGTGGTTAAGAGCACTGGCTGCTCTCCCAGAGGACCCGGGTTCAATTCCTAGCACCCACATGACAGCTCACAATCGTCTGTAACTCCAGTTCCAGGGAACCCAACATCCCCACACAGACATGCATGCAGGCAAAACACCAGTGCACATAAGATAAAAAACAAGTCATTAAAAGACTGTTTTAAGACCATTATATAAAAATTGCAGCTTAGGTCATATGGGAGCACTGTCAGAGAACAGGCTACTTCTCTTTCATTTACGAATATCTGTTTCATTAATTTCTATTGAAATAAGTTTAAGAAGAAGACTTATTGGGTGTTGAAGTGCTTCTCCCTTAGGGGTTAAGTGAAAAGTATACATCGTTCCTCTAGGGTAAGCTGCAGAAGATGTTCCTGTTTGTCCCCAGCAAGGACTTGAACATGTGTCAGTGTGTCCCTTAGACAGCTGCTCCATTAGTAGATTTTCTAAGTATCAGCTTAAAAACCTCTGCTTCCTTTCTCTCTCTCTCTCTCTCTCCCCTTCTCTTACACAAAGAGGCTCCCACAACTGAGCTGTATCCCTGGAACATATGTTGCAAGCTCCGGGCCCTGCAAGTCTATGACGTGTGTTGTCCATGGAGGGTTCTGGAAAGAGTCAGAGAGGGTTGGGCTGTTCTGCTTGTTTTCCTCAGCAGTAGAGCATTTTGCTCTCAAGGCAGTCAAGAAACCCCAACCTCACCACAAGCGACTCTCTTTTAGGCCAATCACAAAATTGTTCCTCTAAGAAATGAGAGACAACAATAAAAAAAAAATGACATTGGCTATTCTGTGAATCGACTTTCTGGGACTTGTTGGAAGTCATAAATATTTATTTTGGTCATAAATAATCTCTGGCTTCTTTGCCTTAAAAAACCTAGAGCTGATTGTTGATCTCATATGATAAATAAACTCACATGGGATGTGTAAGATTGGAGGTGACCAGGTCTCCTCAGGCTTCCTCGGTCCACAACCCAATCTTCATGCTTAGTTTCATGGAGAGCTCCCTGAAAACCCCATGTCAGTGTCTCCACCAGCCCAGCTGTGGAACCTACTGGTTCCTCAGCAACTTCTGGGAATGGTGGCCTTACCATTTTGCTTCAGGGGCCGCTGTTGTGCTGGCCAAAGCAGTTGTCACAAGCCAAAGACATCCAATATGGCTGAAGCCCAAGAGGATGGTCAAGTGACCTGAGTAGGGCCCCAGTTCTTCATAAGACCTGAGTATGTGGCAGTTGAGATGATTTTCTTGCCTAACTTTCTGCATGTATGTCTTTTCCTATTGAAAAATCTGCCCCCTCCCCACGCCCATTGAAGTGTCCTGAGTATATCATGTTTTTCCAAATTGGAGAGCTTCCATACCATTGTCTACAGAGGATTCATAATCTCTACTATATCTGCTCTTTCTCAAGTGCTGAGTGTGTGTGTGTGTGCCTTGGATCACACCATTCTTTAAATCCTTCTAATCCACTGTGAGTCTCTTGATCCATTCTTCAGGCTTTATTGGTTCTTCATGTTAAAAATTCTGTAACGCAGGGTTGGTAACACTCCTTTTACAGAGCACTACTTTTCCGAGCCTTATCTGGCATCTGAGACCAGCAGCTCGGAACACCCATAGCACACTCCTTCCAGGACTTTTCCTTCCCACTCGATGCCCTTTCTCAAGTCATTATGGATCTGTACTTGTGTGGTAAAGATCTGCAAGTCTGTTTCCCTTTGGTTTGCCAATTCTGTTGGTTCTGATGGGCCAGATGTGGCGGAATCATTGTCATCTCAATCCTCACACCTGGCCCCAGGTCTGCGCAATAAATATAGAATGATGATGACGTGTATTCCATGAAGAGCCTCTTCAGACTGGGTCAGGGACAATGTGCCAGAGTACATGTGAAGCCACAGGACAAACACCTACCACTTTCCTAAAAAGTCAGTTTCACAGGAAAGGAAGTCTAAACATTCTTCTTATATGGTCATTTTAAAGTGTGGTCAAATGTAAGATTCACATGGCATCTTAAGAAATTTATTCCCTGGCGTCTATTTCTCCTGGGTGAGTTTGTTTCTTTTTGTTCTAGATCTTTCAGTTGTGCTGTTAATTCATTGGTATGGGATTGCTCCATCTTCTTTATGTGTGCATTTAGAGCTATGAATTTTCCTCTTAGCACTGCTTTCATAGTGTCCCATAAGTTTGGGTATGTTGTACTTTCATTTTCATTGAATTCTAGGAA